TTTTGTTCAGTATTAATTTTACCGCCACACTTGTATCAAATCGCTTCCTCGCTTATGATCAAACAATTTTTTTATAAAAGAGCAGTGATGGTTTCAGTAACAGATAATTAAAACTTAGTCTTAAAGAAAAAGATTTTCCTCAACGCTCCAAAGAACAAACCCCAGGACACTGTTTTCTCAAGTGAGTGTGTATTTGCCTAATACACTCACCGAGGTCTTCTTTTAGGTGTCCCGCGATTGCGCGAGTTGTCCTACTTAATAGCTCAAGGCAACTTCTGATCGAAAATTTCTAAAGTCTCTGAAAAAGCTCTCCCACACCCGGGCCGCTCCAAGTGCACGAGAGTACGGAACAACTTTTCTTCTCAAGTGAGTGTGGATTTGCCTAATACCCTCACCGAGGTCTTCTTTTAGGTGTTCCCGGATTGCCCGAGCTTTCCTATTAAGTAGCTCAAGGTAACCACACAATCAAAATAACAATCAAAAAACTTCTGATAAAGCCGATCTAGAATCCAAAGTTGATCGCGAATTTCCAGCCAAACTGGGCTCCTAAGTTCTCAAAATTTACACCCCGTTAGTAGTTGACCTTCTATTTTGTCCTTAAATAGATATTTACGATGTTCGAACTGCGCCGGAGGGTGCCTCTAATTCTTCACTAAGGAGGGTTGTTAAGGGGCTTAAGTTACTCCAGAGGGTTATTTCGGAGGGTTGTTAAGACACTTAGCTTACTCCGGAGGGTACCGTAGTCACATAAGTAACTTCAGAAGGTCCCCTTAAGTTCACTTAAGAAGGGTCAGTAAGAGGCTTAATACGCTCCGGAGGGTTGCTTCGGAGGGTTCCCTCAAAATTCTAAATTTTTAAAGTCACACTTAAAAGGATCTCCAACTAGTCTCAGAAAGTTTCAAAACAAGCTAAATTCACTCCGTACGGTTATTTTAACTTCTTCGGAGGGCTGTTTGGAAAGTTTCTATTAAGGAGGTTCGCTAAGGGGCTTAGCTGACTCCGAAGGGTTACCTCGGAGGGTTCCCCAAAAATTGCGAAAACGGATGATTTCACCGCTGTAAAGCGACCAATTGCACTCTAATCGACTTAAAACTAGGTTGGCTGACTCGGTCAGCCCTGCCAGTAGGATAAAAAGGTGATCTTATAAAATTTTCTGCCGCTATGATGGTTCCAGAAAAATTTGACCCTCCGAACCAATAAATTCTAAAAAATTCTTCTTCCCTAGAGTTATCGACCCAAAAACGGTCAGATCTAGAAAATTGATTAAACGTTTCGACTTATGATACCAAAATTATTCCGATCGGTCGGCTAGTCTTTGAGAAATCGCCAAAAACGCGTTCGTGAAATTGGCCTTTTTTTACGACCTATATAGGTTTTGAAAGACTTTTTCCGCAATTCTCAGTGAGAGTGCCTAAAAATAATTGAAACGAGCGTAGTAGCCCGCCCCGTACAGAACTGGATTAATGCAAAAAACCGGACCAAAATTAGTTTGGAAACAAAAATTTGACCAAAAACTATCAAATTTGGACCTTCCGATTCCTTCCTTTTCCAATCTTTAAGTCTATAGCTCTATCCACGGAGCTACTCGGAGGGTTACTCAAAGATCTCTCCTCTGCTAGCACGCTCCTAACGCAAAAATTTTTTCGCGCTCTAACTCTAAAAGCTCAAAAACTTGATCCTCAAAACATATTGACGAAATTCGGAAAATTACAACAATTTTGATCGAAAAAATTTTGTTTTCGCCAACTTTTATTAAGTCTTTTTCTGAGCAGTTTCTTTAGTTAGAGGGATTGAGCTACGAAGTAGGTCACTGTACAGAAGCTTTTGCTGTTCGGAAAAGCTCGGACATCTGAAATTTTGGGGTTTGACAGTTTGGTCGAAAATCAGTAATTTTCGACAAAATTGGGGTGTTTCTCGGGTCTAAATAGGAGATAAGTAATATAACGTAAGGATTATAATCTATTAGTAGCCATTTATTAATATTACTTTACCCTCATTGGCATCAAAATATCCGAATTAAGATCCTTAATTCGGAAAATCGCAATCGATGGAGGGTGCAATCGGACCGCGCCAAATGTGCCCCCACCACTTAAGTTTTGATGAAATAGTACCCGAACGATACTAAAATTGTTTCAACGATTTCCAACAGTCGTTGTGGATGTTGTCCCTGATGCCCCTGTTGAGTCTGGAACACGTCGGTCAGCTTGCCACTCTACCCTCCGTTCACCGGCAAATCACCATTAACGTGCTTGAATACTCAAATTACACTCAAGGGAGGATACCTAACCCGCCACCAAAACACTCAATCTTTCTATCAGAAATGATATAAAACAATCTGAAACAACAACAAATAGGAAGGTCAGATCGCATCTCCTCCGGAAATAACATATAAACTATCACTTTAGGTTATTTTTTGTTTTTGGTCTTTGTTGGATTTTCTTACTGTTTTTGGTCTTTTTTGGATTTCTTACTGTTTTTTTTACTTTTTTCTTTTCAGATAAATTTATTTTTGGCTTTTTCTTGGTTATACATTGTTTTCGTTTGGTTTTACGCTTTCTCTTTAATTGTTTTTGGTCCCGGGACCTTGGGATCAGCGGGCTCATGACTTCCCACCTAACCCTTCGGCCCCCGGAATTTTCGGTCTTAACTAAGTTAAAAAGCTGAATAGTACTAGGCGGAGGGTCGTCACTTTCCCCCTAGTACAACAAAGGTCATCAAGGTTTCTAACTCGGGCATACGCCCGTAGCGGAGGGTTCGTCGCTGAAACGTTTGCTGATCATGATGATCTTATGCCTTGACAGGCCCATCCAGGAGCGCCATAAAAACGTCTAAGTAACATTCGCCCAAATACTACACAGTGACGGAGCGTAGAAAAAACCTGTAGACGACTGGCCGGCGTCAGTTACCTGAATTCTACTCGTTTTTCACCGTCTCGGCCTAGCCAGTTGATTTTCTGGTCTGTCTGGGGTTAAGTAAAAAGTTACCATCTTTAGGCCATCAATCAAACGACTTCGGTTTACATGTAATCAGCTTCGGTTTACATGCGAACACAACCACATAGCTGGGTCTCAGATCCCTAGACTACATGATTGTTATTAATAACACGGCTCGAACATCCTACTTTACTGTGTTTTTGGTGACAGTTCTAAATTAAATCCATTGGAGATGGATTGACCCTTTCCTTTTTCTAACTACTCTAATTCTGAAACAACAATTAATACCGGTTTTGACTCAAAATTTATGGAATCAGAGTAGCTTAAAAGTCAATTCTTTACAGTCCATCACCATATATTGTCTCTGGGCGGCCAAGCCTCCGATTGCGTGCTTTTTCTGTAATAACGTCGTTATTACCCTCAATTCGTGGCACGGGAGGGTACTGCTCTTTACTTCTTCCCCACTGAAGCCTCCTTTCTTGCTAATTCCTTCTGCGATGTGTCATATTGTGCGTGATCGTCACGATAAGAGGCTTCGTGTTTTAGTTCGTTCTCGTTCAACTGTGCTTCACTAAATTGGTCGTTGTTCTGTTTTTCGTCACTTTTCACTCAAAAGTGGCCATTTTTCGTATTTCTCAGAAATATTCCTTCGCCAATCGAAATTTTGAAAATTAAAAATTCCAGAAAATTCTAGCCTCCTTTTCAACAGTTTTCAATCACTAAGGCCTCTAATGCTATTTTCGTGTTGTGCCGGAAGGTTAGGCTGTGCCAATCCGGCGGAATGGCACAGAGCCAAGGACGGGTAGTTTTCTTAAGCAGAGAATCTTCGCAATACAGGTTGCAAACGCTGCGTGCGTACTGGGCACTATCAATGATATTTTTTGAAGGTTTTTCCTAGCTTCAGAGCCAAGGTAACGAAAACACAGCTTTAATGAAATTATCTGATAGTCCTTAGCCTCCTATCAGGTCATTTTTCGAGTTTCTTTCACTTCAGGTTCAATCTGTGCAGGTTGAGTCCCAACCATTTGACTCTTAGTTTTTGTTCATGTTATACTTTACTTTCCCCAATTGATGATAATTTAATGGTTTTTGGACTGGGTGAAATGATGAAGACTAGTGATGTAACTTCAGCTACCATGATAATTTCTGAACTGTTTTACTTGCGAATTAGACTTTTTTCCGTAAACAAAGTTTCTTGCTTTTTTCAATTGAACTTTCACAAATTCTAGATTCCTTCTTACTTGGCTCAGAGATAAGGCTGTTGCCTTCGCGCCCTAAGTTCTGGGTTTATGTCTCGGCCTGACCGTGTTTTTTTAGAATATATGCATCTGAAAAAAAGTTTTGTAGAAATTTAACTTTCGTTTGTCTGCTCAAGTTTTGTCGGCTTAGTTGCCACGTCACACATCTTGCTTTTCATGAAAGTAACTTTCATGGCAGTTGTTCCAGTGCAAGTGTTGTCAACTGTAGTTACAGGGAAGGAAACTTGAAACTTTGGAAAAAAATTCAAATCATTTTTATTGGCCCAACTGGGGTCTGCTCAGATTGTCGACTTAGTTGCCTCATCACCGATTTTTCTTTTGCTGTAAAAGTAGTTGCAAGTGTTGTTCATTGTAGTTTCAGGTGGTACTTAAAAAAGTAACGCTTTTTTATAAAATCATATTTTATGCTCACTCTGTATTTGAAGAAGAAGAATTTCTGCTCACTCTGTATTTGCGCAAAGATTGTGAGCTTTCTTTCTTATTTTTTGTTCAGTTGCTAATGTATTATTCAAATGTCTGTTGTTTTTGCCTAGATTAAATTTCTTTCGAGGCATACAGAAATTTAAATTTGGTAGAACTATTTTTTTAACTAACTTCAATTTTTCAGCTTTTTTTATAGTTGTGTATTATCGCAAGTGGTGCGAAGCGGAATATAATAGTTGAATTTGCCAGAAACACTCCAGAGTAGTATGCATCAACAATTACCCTGAAATTAATGCGCTAACTTTCTGACAATATTGAGACATTTTAACTGGTGATATTGTCTCCTTCGTTGACCTGATTTAATATCATCACGGTATTTTTCCAGAGAGCTTAATGTCATACAGGGTTATGAGAGCCTATACGACTAGCGCATCGGCTAGCGAAATCAGAGTGGAATGAATGGCATGAATAACTACGAAATACTAAGCACTGCTGGCGAAGGTAACTCCTCGCATAAATAGTTGATTAAGGCGAGATGATAGGGTTGGATAATATTCAACATACCTTGGTGGAAGCTTTTAGTTTCAAAGGTGCTATAATTGAACAGCTACCCACTGTGCAATCTTGTGCGTTAAAACTGAAATTTCGTTTAAGGGGCTTTCGGCGTTGTCTTGAAATGCCGTGACCGAAGAACAGAAGAATTAGTAGCAGTTAAGAAAATCAAAAAGACCGGTAAGAAGTTAGCAATTTGTTTCAGCTGGTATCACATCTATTATATATTTAAATGCGGGCTTCACTATCTCGCCATGTTTAAGCTTTTTCAACGTATTATTTTTGCATGTTTAAGCTATATCGTATATTGCAATGGTTAAGATTTTTTTTCGATTTTCCTATTTGATTTTAGTGGTTACTTTACCGAGTTTAAATTAAGCAGCCCAATATCGAATTAGGGGTGGCGAACTTGGCCTCCAATTTTGAATGCCCGATCATTTTAGTTAACGAGATAAGACGATTTTGAGATTTTTTCAAAATTTTTCAGAGATTTCAAATAAAATAATTACAAAACTTGAAGTTGCCAACCCTTTAGTTGGGTGCTGTCAGAATACTCTAAGGAGTTACAAATCTTGCCTCCAAATATGACAGTTCAAGTTCTTGTAGTTTTCGAGATATGACGTTTTTTGTGATTTTTTCAAAAAATTTTCAGAAAACTTAGATGAATTTTTTTTCGCAAAATCTGAAATTCCCAACCCTGTAGTTGGGCCCTGTCAGAGTATTCTCAAAGATTGCAAAACTTGACTCCAAATATGATTGCTCAGTTCTTTGTAGTTATCGAGATATGACGTTTTTTTGCGATTTTTTCAAAAATTTCCAGAAACTTAAGTTATTATTAGTTTTTAAAAATCTGAAATTCCCAACCCTGTAGTTAGCTTTTGTCAGGGTACTCTCAAAGATTGCGAACCTTGCCTCCAAATATGATTGCTCAGTTCTTTGTAGTTTTCGAGATATGACGTTTTCTGTGATTTTTTCAATAATTTTCAGGAAACTTCAGAAAATTTAAACTAATAATTTTTCAAATTTTGAAATTTCCAACATTATAGTTCGGTGTTGTCAGGGTACTCTAAAGAGTTGCAAATCTTGCCACATGCTACTGCTAAACGCGACTGCTCAAATGCTTTTAGTTTCCGTAATGTGATCTTTTTGATTTTTTCAAAATTTCTCGAAGAACTTATCTACAAAGAAATTCAAAAAATTTGGAAACACTAACTTGAGGAAGATACAACCTTATTGTCAGCGTACAACCAGGCGTCACAAATCTTATGTCCTAATATGAATGCTCAAATCCCGTAGGTTTCCGCGATAAGACGTTTTTTTTAAAATTTTTTTTCCGGGAAACTTAGGTTCAAAAAAATTCACAAAATTTTGGATTCCTAACCCGATAGAAGGGTGCTCTCAGGGACTTCCAGTGGTTGCAAAGCTGGCCTCCAAATTTCTCCAGAGGCCCATTAAGTTTTCGAGATGACGCTTTTAAAAAGGGAATTAAAAAAATTTCTAAGTTCGAAATTACCAACCCTGTAATTGGGTGCAGTCAGAGTACACTAAAAGTTTGCAGATGTTGTTTGCAATATATGCGGTTTTTCATGAGCTGTCGTAAATTTGAAGCACCGAAGGTGCCTTAAACGCTAGTTGTTTTTATCAGGTTTGTTCAGTAACAATATCCTGACCATTTTTGTACTTTTACGATTTTTACCTATGTATCCTTAGGCAATGATCCAGAAAGCAAAGAAGCTACTCTATTGCGCGAGCTGCGCCAAGAAAATATTGTTCAGCTCAAAGACTGTTTCACCAGAAGATCCACTTTGTATCTGGTGTTCGAGTTCGTCGAACAGGTAAGTCAAACTTTATCACAGAATGCAATAGAAGTGGCTACTCCTGGTTTGCTGCTGGTTTTGATTTCTGAGACTGTATTTACGAAGCAGCAAACCTATATTGCACAAATTGCACTCCAATTGCTGGAAAATTACTCACCTAAAGGCTATCAGAATATAATAATTTTTAGTTGCCACCAACACTCCAGAGTAGTATGCATCTACAATTACTCTGAAGTAAATGTGCTAATTTTCTGACAAATTACACTACAAGACCTTATAAAAAAGAGTTAATGATTTTTGAAAAAATGTGGTCATTTTCTCACTTAAACGACTTCGGTTTACTGTGTACCTGCTACGGTAAATGAACTGTTTCTGGTTTTGTTTTTTAAGACTTTCGAGAAGCCGCTGTTTTTTGTGAAAATCGACTTTTGATCGCAATGTATTTATATTGCTTTGCAGGGGTGGATCTAGGATTTTCTCGAGGGGGGGGGGGGGGGGGGGTGCGGATTTTCAAAAAAAATGGTCGATTTTTTTTATAGGTCGACCAAATTGGTTTTACGCAAAGCACTAAAATGTCCTTATTTTGGCCAAAATTTCAGCACCGCAGGCAAAATTTTGAAAAAACACTAAGAAAGCGTTTTTAGGCACTTTTTGGAACAGTTGACTAAAAATCGTCTTGGATTATGTGTTTGTTTGGATGGGTCGTAAAAACTTTTAAATTTTGCCACTCAGTAAGTAGTTTCCATTTTAAGGGCTGTTTATGAACTGCATCCGATAAAAATATGAAGTTTTTGTAGCTGTAATTTTTCAACTTTTGCCTAGTTAGTTTTCCAAGTAATTTTTCCAACTTTATTTTTCATGTTTTTTTTCTGTCTTTTTTCGTTCATTAATTTCTGGCGCAATGTTTTTTTTGTATCGCAAGTGTTGTGATCTCCGCGCCGTCTCTGTTAGGCTTGCGATTAGCAAATTAGGTTTGCGATCCCAAAGCACTATAATAGCCCAAAAAAACGTTTGCGCCGCAGGCAAATTAAAAAAAATGTCGTTTATGGGAACTTTTGCAAAGTTTTAACCTGAGTTTTGCGTTCTTCCGGCGCACGCTCCCCTTCAAAATTACTATATATTGGCGCCTTTAGAAATTTTAAGGGTTGCTCATCCGAAAATCGATGTCATTTAATAATACCAAAGGGGGGACCCTTTACTTGGCGAGGTGGTAGAATCCCTGAGTGGGAGGCGTCCACCCCCTCCCCCTATAATCGCACCTGAGCTGTTCATTCGTTTTTAATTAATTGAAGTCCTTAATTTTCTTGCTCATTTGTTTTTAAATAACATTTCGAAATTTACAAAATTCGCGTAAAAACCAATCATTTCGAACAATTCACTTACAGTTGCTTACGATTGAAGCAATTGTGATCTACTTGGTTGCTTTTCATACGCTTTTTGATTAAAGCTAACATAAAAAAGGAGCTTAATAATGGTCGCTCAGATTTTTTGTTGGCCTTTTTTTAGGTTGCTCGAATGGATTTTCTGACCTCTCCTGAAGTGCTAATAACACTTCTGCCTTTCTATATATTGGCAATGTTTTTTTTATTGAAACTTTTATTGAAACAGTCACAAACTACAACTGAAATTTCACAATTTTGTAAATTTACCATGTCTGATTTTGAGTTTTTTTCTCATTTTTTTTTTTGAATATTTAGCAATTTTAGTTTGTTATATTGACTTAGTCAACTGTTTTTGCGTTATTTCGAGGGCAAAACATATTCGCTTTGGATTGTCTTTTTTTTGCAAGAGTCCTAAAAACTTGTAGTTTTTACAATGTTTTTATGACAAGTTTGTTTTCGGCTCAAAAGGTTTCGACCCAAAGTTTGTCGTCTTTGTTGCCACTCAGTAAATACCTTCCGTTTTTAATGGCTGTTTATAAACTTCATCCTATACAAATACGAAGTTTTTGTAGCCTGTCAAGTTATTTTTCAAGTAATTTCCTAATTACTTTTTCAGAATTTTTTTACGTTTTCATTTTTTTAATCATTTTTTTTGCTGTGCTCTTCTTCAATTTTTTTAAGTTAATTTCAAAATAACCAAACTGGGTTGATTTTCAAAAGTTAATTGTTTTTTGTAGACTTGATGTTTTCCTAATTCAGTTTGTTTTTGCTATTTACTTCAAAAATTTTGTTTTCGGGTTCTTGGTTTTCGTCCTAGTTTCTGTCGGTTCATTTTCCGTTTTTTAATGCCAATTTTTTATCTGCTAAGGTTTTTATTTGTCTACTTTTAAAAGGATGGGTTTTGTTCCAATTTGATTAGATCTTATCTAAAAGTTTGTTTTCGGCTCAACAGGTATCGTTCCAAAGTTTGTCGTCTTTGTTGCCACTCGGTAAATACCTTCCGTTTTTAATGGCTGTTTATAAACTTCATCCGATACAAATATGAAGTTTTTGTAGCCTGTCAAGTTATTTTTCAAGTAATTTTTACTAATTACTTTCAGAATTTTTTCTACGTTTTCATTTTTTTATGCATTTTTTTTGGTGTGCTCTTCAATTTTTTTAAGTTAATTTCAAAATAACCAAACTGGGTTGATTTTCAAAAGTTATTTGTTTTTTGTAGACTTGATGTTTTCCTAATTCAGTTTGTTTTTGCTATTTACTTCAAGAAATTTTTTTTGGGTTCGTTGTTTTCCTCCTAGTTTCTGTCGGTTCATTTTCCGTTTTTTAATGCCAATTTTTTTATCTGCTAAGGTTTTTATTTGTCTACTTTTTATAGGATGGGTTTTGTTGCAATTTGATTAGTTCTTATCTAAAAGATTGTTTTCGGCTCAACAGGTTTCAACCCAAAGTTTGTCGTCTTTGTTGCCACTCGGTAAATACCTTCCGTTTTTAATGGCTGTTTATAAACTTCATCCGATGCAAATATGAAGTTTTTGTAGCCTGTCAAGTAATTTTTCCTAATTATTTTTCAGAATTTTTTTGCGTTTTCATTTTTTATGCATTTTTTTTGGTGTGCTCTTCTTCAATTTTTTAAGTTAATTTCAAAATAACCAAACTGGGTTGATTTTCAAAAGTTATTTGTTTTTTGTAGACTTGATTTTTTCCTAATTCAGTTTGTTTTTGCTATTTACTTCAAAAAATTTGTTCTCGGGTTCGTGGTTTTCGTCCTAGTTTCTGTCGGTTCATTTTCCGTTTTTTAATGCCCATTTTAATCTGCTAAGGTTTTTGTTTGTCTACTTTTTAAAGGATGGGTTTTGTTCCAATTTGATTAGTTCTTACTATAACTGAAACTTCACAAATTTGTAAATTTACCACGTCTGATTTTTTCTTTTTTTTTGTTTTTCTTCTGGGTGTTCAACCAGTTTCAGTTTATGTTATATCGACTGAGTCAACTTATTTTGCGTAAATTTGATCGCAAAAAATAGCCGTCATGGTTTTTGTGTTTCAGTAGGATGGGTCGTAAAAACTTAAATTTTCTGAATTTTTTTGCCAACAGTTTTGTTTTCGGCTCAACGGGTTTGGACCCAAAGTTTGTCGCCTTTGTTGCCACTCGGTAAATAGTTTTCTATTTTAAGGGCTGTTTATGTACTTCATTCAATACAAATATGAAGTTTTTGTAGCTGTAATTCAACTTTTGTCAAGTTATTATTTCAAGTAATTTTTTCCAACTTAATTTTTTTTCTTCTGTCTTTTTTTTCATTCATTATTTTATAGGACACGTTGTAGGAAACAGCGTTGTAGGGCACTTTGGATTTGACCAAAAACATCGCATTTTTTGGCGTGCCCTCCTTCAAGTATTTTATTTTAATTCCAGTAGATATCATAAAAGAAAATTATATTGTACAAATTCAAGAAAATAAATCTGTGAAAAACAACAATTAAAGCCTTTCTAGGATCATTAACAGGCTAAAGGTCCTGATTTTATGGCCCTAAATATAAAGTTTATTGGCGCTGAAAGTGCCTCAAGGATAAATTATAGCATTGGTTGGCCAACTGAATTTCGTAAAATAGTACGCCGCCCCTTCTCCGCACGCTACTGCTGAAAACCTTATTAATGCCCGGCTCATTTTTCCACTTTCATACTGATTTCTTGCATTAGATAGATTTTCGGAGGACTTATGTTACAGTTTTTTTTTGTGCAGCATAATATAACTGTCTCCTAAAAACTGTCAAAAGTAAATTGCAGAGAAAATGTTTTTTTTTTTTCAGAACATGCTACAGATTATCCAACAGAGTCCCTCAGGCTTACCATTGCAATCGACTAGGTTGGTATAACCATTTTGAGGAGAGGTAACTTGATGAAGGTGTCAGAATTGGCGCGACAAATTGATAAATGCATAAGCACGATGACGAAACAATTAGTTTGAAAATATATGAAATGGAAAATTTGCCTTTTGGTATCCAGTTATTTAGTCAAGAACCTCTTTTTAATTTCCAATTGAAAATAGTTTGTGACCATTTAGAAACTATGCATATCAGTTGCTGAAGGCCTTGGAAGCGTGCCACTCAAGAAATATTATCCATCAAGGTGAGAAATCACCACTCGAAGAGTAAACCCACCACTTGCACCAAATCTATGTCTTGATGTGTAATAAAAAAACCGCGTATTCTTATACTGTGCTTTTAATGAAAGAAATCGTTTTTATTTTGTAATAAGACTGCTGGCATCAGGGCGAAGCGCTGAATGTTCCGACTGCCTTTATTTAGAGTAGTGTTTACTTAGAAACATGAAGTTTTTTTTTAAAAAATGCTTATTTTTTCCTTTTTTGTGAAAGCCATCCCCCAACCTGCTATGTTAAGTTCAAAATGATATACTTTGGCGCACTTTTGGAATATTTTAAGTTTTGACCAAAAAAAATTGCCGTTTTTTAGCGCGCGCCGCTCCCTCTCAAAATTCATATTTATTGGCGCCTTGAAAAGTTCCAAGGTCGGTCAGCCAACAATTGATGTCTTACAATAGTAACAATGGGGGTACCCTTTGGGTCGGTAGGAGGGGTTTCATCCGCCCCTGATTGTGATGAAATTTGCTAGGAAAGGCTCACCCCAGGCCAGAATAGTTGGTTGATTAGTAGCTCTACTGCACGCAATCTGCTGATTCAAAAAGATATGTGAAAAAAAAATGATTTGATTCAATGATTTAGGTTTCGTTTGTATTCGTTGGTGTTTTATTTTCTAATGTGAATTTTTTACCCTGATCTGTTGTTTGAACTGTTCTGATTTTTTGGTTGCATACAAGCTGAATATTTTCATTGAATTATTTTTATTTGAGTTATTTTGACCATAATCTTTAATTTTTTTTCAGCGTGCGCCCTTCACTTCAGAATTAGAATGTAGTGGCGCCATTTTAGGGTCTTTGTAATAAGTTTATGCTTGTTGATTCAAAAATAACTACCAAAAAAGGCCATGTGGGTGGTGAAGATGTCGGATTCTTAGTCGCACTTTGGGCCGTCCCGCGCATCCATTAATACTACTACTGGTTGGACCATTAAATTATCGATTGCAGATAACGATAAGGCTAATACTAAACCCTTGCCTGTTGATGATATCGGTTACATATAATTAAGTGTGACGACATAAAAAAGAGATAATTACATGGAGCAAATCCCAAATATGGTGATCCATTTCCAATAGGATGTAGCTAAAATCGAATTAAGGAAATTAAATCAATCATCTCGTCAAACCTAATATTCTGTTTTGAAGATTTTTACAATCAACATGTCTCTTAAGTGAGCTCAGATACTTTTTTTTCTATGAACCATCGAAATTAGAGACACTTCAATGTTGCGTGTTGAAAAAACATTTGATGAAGAGTTATGAGCGAAGTGAATACTCTTACACAGGTCTTGGTAATTTTTTCTCAGCTGTTTTTTTTTCAGGAAAAATTCAAGACATTTCACGCTCAAATTTGATTTTTTTCGCGGTTTGAATATTGATTTCTTTTCAAATTCACTTCATTTCCAATGTTAGAAGGAAGGCAAACTCCACTAGCGAACAGAAAAAGTGTAAAGGTCACAAAAAACGTGATCGACTTCTAGTTTCGAAGGTGGGTTTTATTTTTCAGATTTGGCAGCGGAATAAAAAGTTTACCTATTGATCTAATGTTCTCAAATTAAGTTAATTCTATCTAAACAAACATCAATCATAATTTTTCTTATAAGTCAAAGAGCTTTAAGGCCATAATTTTTGTTACGACTTTCGAACAAAAGTAACGGATTATTTGTGCTCGGGGTGGTTTATTTTATCATCAGACAAAATTAGACCCTTTAACTAGCTATTTTTGACAAAATTTATTCATATCATTCAAAATCTATTGTTGTCTTGAGCTTAAATTTGAAGATATTTTACCTGTGATTTTTTTTGTAAAGTTATAGGGGTTTAAAGATTGACATTTTGGCCAAATTGAGACAATTAACGCGCGATATAATTCGCGCTATTAACGCGTAAGCTGAGGTTTTATCCGTCTTAGAAATCGTTCCAAATTGGTTGAAGGAAGCATATTTGCCATAATTGATTTGTTAAGAAACGAAATCTATCACTTTGTACGTTTAATGGCGTGTGGGGGGTTGATTTTGACAAAAAAATCTCAAATTTTAAACTTTATTTTTTCATGTTATTACTTCCCATTATAGATCTTATAAGTCAGTCAGAACATTCAAGGCTTCGCCCTGATACGACTAGTCTTGTTTTCTTTGAAATTCAAAGATGAAGTGTTTTCAAAAAACAAAATTGTGTTTTTTTCTGTTCCTTGCTTCTATTGACTTTTCCAACTGACTGTTGGCTAAGTTATGATAATTTTTCCTAATTGTTTCTAAAAGAACACGAGGCTTTCCCAACTGTCTGTTTGCTTGAATTTCCTTGTGGAAATACGAATTTTTGATGCGAGGATGTTAAAATAACATGTGATTGTTTTACAGACGTGAAGCCAGAAAACATGCTGGTGACTGGCGACAACATCCTAAAGTTGTGTGACTTCGGCTACGCTGCCAGGAGTGTGAACAACAACAGTGGTCTGATTGAGAGTTCAGTGTACACTGAGTTCATAGCCACCAGATGGTACCGCAGTCCAGAAGTGCTCCTAGGAGCCAGGTCAGTAGATAGTATTGTTCAAGTTAGTTGCCCTGATGTCACGTTCAAAATCAGGTCAAAGCAACCCATAGCTATGGTACCGCAAATAAGTCACCCTTAGATGTAGTTCACTATTACACATACTGCTTAGTTGTTAGGTTGATCACTGGCCAACAATTGTTTTTGCCCCGAGGAATGAAACGTCCACTTGAATTGCCCTTTTTTTATAAAGTAAATGGCGAATCCTAACTTCGAACATGTAAGAATCATAGTGATGAAGTAAAATTTAATGCTAAATTTTTAAGTACCAGCATTTTTTCAAAATTTCAATATTTAAAAAAAATAGAAAAAAGTATTTATCTTTTTATTTTTTTTAAAATATAATGAATGGTAAACTTAAATTGTGCACTATACTTTTAGCTGTACTTAAAGAATAGCAGAATTTGTAATTTGTTTTACAATTAGTAATTTGTTTTTTAAAGTATGTAAACCAACCATGGGTAAATTCTCATTAGACCTGCTTGTCTGTTATCAATCCTCTCTCTCCATTTTGTGTATATGTTTATTTTGATTGATGTTACAAATTGAAATATATTCACATTTATGGAGAAATAAATTCTTTCTTTGTTTTAATGATGTTGGTGCACGTCAGCATTGCAATAATTTTCTGAGGACAAATATATGGAGGCGAAACTTTTTTTGCCAATTGGCGATTTTCATGCTCATTAGTTGACGAGATAGTCCACAATAGGTGTGGCAGAGACGCCGATATGTGGAGTGCGGGCTGTATAGTGGGGGAGATGGCTGACGGGAAGCCCATGTTCCCGGGTCAGAGTGAACTGGACCAGCTGTATGTGATTCAGACTATTCTGGGACCCTTGAGTGTGAACCAGAGGCGGATGTTCTACAACTCACCCAGATACACACAGCTAAGGGTTAGACTTCTAAGTTATCGTTCTTAGGTTTGCTGGGGAAACTGGATAAAACAGTTCAATACGCTGTCTACCTGGAATTGCAAGTTAGCCATGATTATTTAAAATGTTGCTCATGGTTTTTGATTTCGTTTCCGCGATGTGTATGTGTAGTTTTTGTCATTGGAACTTTATTGACTCTGTTTTCTCAGTCAGAGAAAAAGATATTGACGTTACCTAGAATAAAACACCCCCAGTTTTAACTTTTCTCAAATATTTAAATTTAGCAATTAAAGACTTTGCCATCCTACCAGCAAAATGGGCTCTATGTGTGTTGATATTATAAAGCTTGTGTGATTCTTTGAGTTAGTCTAATTGCGTAATGTTTTAGTTACCGACAGTGTCTAAAGCTAAGGGACTGGAGAAGCGATACAAGAACAAAGTGTGTGCCAAACTACTTGATTGCATGAAGGTAATAGAAGACAATACATTTTTTGTTTTAATTAATTTTAGATGCATTATGGCATAGTTTCCATGCTACTGCTTGGGGTATTCATGAAACGGCGCCTCTTTGCAATCAAGTGTATACCCCGAAACAGTAAATTTTATATTGTGCGTATAAACCATTTGCTGGGAGCTATAATGCAAAAAAATGATAGTTTTTTAATAATGCTTAAGACGTAGACACTGTTTTCGTGTTTTTTTTTGCAAGAATAATCTAGAAGGGTGGAATAACGTGTCTGTGAGTTTTGTTCAGGGAATGCTAGCAATAGACGCGTGCAACAGGTTAGACGTGTACAAAGCTCTACGTCACAAAGTTTTCATCCCAGAAGTCGCCATGGATGAGTCATACCACCCCACTCAAGGTCATCACAGGTCAGTTAGGATTTATAATTACGCTATCAGGTTTTCAGGATAAAAACGTGTTTTTGAATAGAGTAACTGAATCACTCTTTATCTTGGTTCATAATCAACTTGTTCTGAACATGTAGCGAAGATGTAACGTCTAATAAGTCGGATTAGTGCTTGCCTGCTTTTTGTCGGCTTAGATGCCGCAGCACAGTGTTTACTTATCGTTTGAGCAATTTGCAAACAATTTGAAAGTGTTTATATGTATTCGTGTAATTGTGTTGTTAAACGAAATCCAAGAAATTTGACTGAAATACGATTTTTCAATGTTTTTGTCTGTTCATTCTCCTCGCAGCCTCAAAAAAGCAATGGGTGGATCTTTTTCTTCATTTTTTCAAAATTTCGATTTGAACACAATAATTTAAAAAACCGATTTTGCCCGTTTTCACTTACGATTGTTTCGCCTACTTTGATTTTATAAAATGAGCATTTCTGAATGAAAAATGTGACGAAGAGTTGCACGTTCGTATCTACTCTTGAATTACTTTAAATATGTCGGAATTTTTTTCACAATCATTTTTTTTTGCTTGAATACTGGATAGATTTTGGCATCGAGAGTAATGCGAAAGTCGACTTCGCCTGTGAAAAAAGAATTGTATCTAATCAAATAGTATGATTTCCAAATTTTCAAGATGCCCACTAAAATAAAAATGACACATTAACAAGCTTGCGAGCGTAATGTGTAAGTACGAACCTTCTTTTTTTCTAACCTCGCAAATAAAAGTTTTATTTTCTAACCGCACTCGCGGAACTTCTGCTATAATCACGATCTGTAGACTTAGAAATTTCGTAGCATCTGTTATCTGCTTTATTTGTGGCTAGTGTGTGTGGTTACACCAGCGAAGCGTAAAATTTACTAAGCGAATCGTAAAAAAATTGTTTTTCTAAGCCAAGTTGCAAATATAATTGCTCATTTGGTGGCATTTTAGATATGTAATTTAATCATGTTCAAGCTTGAACAATTTAATTTCAAATGTTGAGGCTTTTTTTATTTATAGTGTTTGGTCCTGTTAGAAACAAATTTTGTATAATAAAAATGTGTGGGATTTGTTTTTAGTTTTTTTTGCGACATTTTGGAAAATTTTTGCATTTTTCGTGGAAGTTTCAATTTTCTCAAAAACTACCAATTTTCCAAAAAAAAATGGTACTAATGGAAAAATCGGCTGCTCTTCTATGTGTCTGCTTATTTAGTTAGTCTCTTTTAATTTTGCCGCACGCTCTACAACTTTCGAACCCATGAATATTGTAATGAATATTAAATGCAAAAATCTGAGTTTTCTCTTCTTGTGCTAGATTTATGGAATAAGTACTGATTATGGAATACTATAATATATTGATCCACTTTTCTTAAGTTAGTTTAGTTTGCTCAAAAAAGTTATATCATGAAAATTTTTGAAAATCAAAGAGCTTTAAGGTGATATATTTGTTTTCTTAGAAAATGAAAAACGAAAAAGTGCTCAGAAAAACATGGTGAAAATCGAATTTCAGAAATGCGAATATCCATCGATAAGTTTCACCGCTCTAATTAAATGCTCATTTTTGAAACAGGTCAACCGGCAGTAGACCAGTGACGTCATCAACACCGGCATTGCATTCTCAGAACTCGATCTCGTCCCAGTTCGGATATGGCGGAGGGAGAGGAGTAAATGGGGGAGGAGGTGTGAACGGAAATGTAGGGGTTAACCGGCACTCGATTGCTGTTCATATGAATGAAGTGACAAATGGGGCTACCAATAGTTTGTAAGTCACGTGTCTTTATACTTGTCAGTAATGCAACACCATTTTTAAGCTCAATAGGAACTTAACCACATGAAAATAGTTTGAATGATATGAAATCAAGAACCAGATTTGACTCTGTTCCGCTTTCCCCCTCACATTTGAATTTCAGTTTTGAAAAACTCTGAAGTTGTCATGCAATGAAAAAAATCGTAAATGACAAAAAAAAACTAAAGCGTACATTATTAAGGTGCTGTGGAGAACAGTTTTGGTATTCAGATAGAAGGCTAGAGCACCAACTTGGGTAACGCGCTTTCCTCGATGAGAGGCAATGTCGCCCAAACAAAAATTTATTTGCCAAAAGAAAGTTCTTATCAATTTCATTTTTTTTTCTTCTCGATACTCAAAATGCAATTCAGTCGGTCAATTGATTGCACATCAACCATCTACTTGCGTTTGCTGACGCCTTTTTGTATCCTCCTATGGTTTTTGCTTGAGGAGATAGCTAGCTCAATTGGTCATTAGAGGGGCAGATTGTTCAATTGATCCAAAATTTGTTCAGGATCAAATTTTCTTTTTCGCGATTTGACTTTTGATTTCTATTAAATTTAGTTTATCTCCGTAAGTAAAAGGAAAGAAAAATCTACTGTCGAACAGCAAAATTGTTAAGGTCCTGAAAAACGTGATCAACTTCTAATTTGAAGATGGAATTCATTCTTAGGTTTTTCAGCGAAATAAAAATATAACCTTTTGATCCGGTTTTCTCAAATTGGTTTAGGTTTATTTCGCTTGCGATTAGCAAGCGTTATCAAATCGGAAAATAGATTTTTTCGAGCTAACAACTAGTTTAACAAAATCAGTTGAATCACTTATGATGATATGCAGCTGACAGGCTCAATTTCACGAAAATCCAAATTTAACTATTCGGTGGGTACTTGTTACAGATATGCTATATCTGGAACTCAAACCTTTGCATTCATAATTATAGATTTTCGATAGTTTTTTCTGCTAATGATTATTCGGCTGAATGTTTCCGACTTAAGCTTTGTCGGTCCGGCTTCCAATTTTTGAAGTCCACTTAGCACTCGCTATATGGACAACGCACATAAATATAAATCTAAGAAAGAAAACTGTTTTAATTAAAAAGATGATTTCACGATAATTTTCGCAAGACCAATTCTCAAATCAAATGAAAAAAGAGTAGCCAGTTCTCAAGCAAATAACGCGGAATGTTCCAACCACAATGCTGAAAGCGAGAATTAAGAAGAGCCAGTTCCCAAGCAAATAACCCAGAATGTTCCAACCGCAATGCTGAAAGCGAGAAATTAGATTAAACTGAAAACAATTTTTTTTTTTCAGTAATTGTACTGAATTTGCTGTTTTTGCGGTCTTACGTTTGTTTTCTTTTTAAGTTTAGTTTTTCGTTTTGTTAAAAGGAAACCAAACTGCAAAATCATAGGGCAGTTTATACAAGTCACGAAAAAACAATCAAATTCTAGTTTCGATGTTGGATTTTAATTTTCAGGTATGCCAGCGGGTTAAAAACTTCCAATTGATCTAAATAATTTCCATTGTAAAAAGGGTAAACTCGAACAAAAAACTGTAGAGGTGAAATCCGAAAGTGAAGCCTTGTACAACTCACCATATAACACAAACCTTGCATTGCAAAATAACAAAAACAGAGATGAGAGCCTTGGAAAAATTAAGTTTTCTTATGTATAGAAAAAATGACCTATCAAAAACGTTCAACGGTTTGTGCTGATTTTGTCCTGACTAATTGTTTTCTCAAAAAACATGGATAATTGGACAACTTAATGCTGTATTAGCGTAATAAATCAGTCTTATAAAGCAGTAACTAAGCCAAAGAGTTTTTTAGCAGATGCCAAAGTATATCCAATGAAGTGATAAAAGAGAAAACTGAAAAATTGGTTTAGTGAAACTGCCTTACAATCGGTGCCTTTTTTACAATCAAAATTATGAACAGATTTTTATTAGAGCGAACAACTAAGAATACTGAACTGCTCAACAAAGTGTCTGTATGTGGGTGTTACTTGCAATTTTTTTTCTCCAATTTAACTTCTCTGACAATCTGCGGAGTTTCAGCTAATTGGCTGTTGGCTTATTTCAGTTGTTGTTGTTTTAACCTTGCGCTGGAGGCCGTCTCGAATGGTTCAGAATGGTTGTTCGCGCTTAGTTTTGTTTGTGCTGTTCTTGGTTGCTTGATTTCTACTCGTCTCAGTACTTATCGGTAACATAAGATTGTTTTGAAATTGCTCCAGTGTTTGCTAGGTAAACACTGTGCAATTCTCGAGTTCTGTTGGCCCTCGGAGGATATTAGGACTGATGATATAGAAACCACAAGTGCTTCATCTCCTTGATGGTGTTGATGTAAAAAGTCACGAGTGGCAGCTGTTTTTCATGGTTGCTTAGTTTCGGAGGCTTTTTTCCTAGAAATTTGCTGTGTTCATTTTTTGTAGTAAATTTAACTATTGGTGTGGATTTTTTTTATTCCTATCCTATACTGTTTGGCGGTCACATCACCGTTTTGGGTAAAAAAACTGGCAATGTCATATGATGTTGTTGCTGCAAGGTTGATTTAACTGTGCGCTTGGACTGTGTAGAATTGACGGTGTGGTTGTCAACTCTGTACGGCAGATGACATCCCAGTAAAAACTGCTTCGCTATCGTTTCGCTGTGCGTTCGAACAGGTAAAATTTGTGTTTCAGTGTGTAAATGATCAATTGGTGACATTACACACCCAGTTATAGTTCTTAATGCCCTAATTTGTTTTGTCTGCAGTTCTTTCACTTAGTATCATGTAAACTGGGAGACCAGATGGATGCGGCATCGCTAAGGACGCTACGACTTTTTGTTGTGTAAGTGAGTTCCAGGGTCTCCTTATCGCATCCCCATGTGGTTCTTGCCAATTTTTAAAGGTTGTGATTTCTACCATGTACTTTTTGAAATCATTTATAGATATGCTGCCCAAACTTCATTAGCCCATCAAAGGTAACGCCTAAAAGATTTGGCCCACATTTGATGATAGTTATATAGTTATATCATCTGCATAGAAAGTTTGTTAAATGTCCCTATCAGACCCAGGTAGCTTGGAAATATAGATATTAAAAAGCGATGGCGAGAGTACCCCTCCTTGAGGAACTTCTTGTTTTACACTACGCCTTCTGGAGGTTTTGTCATATTACTCGACACATGTAAAGCTACATTGGACGTATCCGCTCACCCATATTTTTGTGTTGTTGCTTAGACTGCTTTCTAAGATATCGTTAAGAAGTACTCTGTGGCTTACAGTGCCAAACCCCGCGGTAAGATCAAGCGCCACTATTTGTGATCTGTCAGGAGTGCGTGCTTTGTCATTCCTCTCTTAACCTTAATAGAGATGCAGTTTAGAACAGTTACTGTGGAACTCGATTTTCTGAAACCATGCTGATGTTCAGCTTATGGGATATTGAGATCAAACTTTGGTAGTAATAGCCGTTCTGTTATTTTAGCCACAGGGGACAGGAGAGCATAAGGCCTGTAGCTTTTTGAATGCTCTGGATCCTTTACCGGTTTCAACAGTGGGATGATTTTCCCTACCTTCCAATTCTGCGCGATTACGCATGTGCTCAGTGACAGATTGATCAGGTGGGTTAAAAATACCATCCCTTTAGGCCCTACATAATGCAAGTGTATACGGGCGATTTGATTCGGCTCGATTGCTTTGCTCTTTGATTGTTTTATAGCTTCTTGCACCATTAAAGGCGAGAGTCGTACTTCGTCAATTGTCAAACTTTAAGTTTCCTGACAATGGGCTTTTTTGCTTTCGTTGCCAACTCAGGGTGAGGCGTGAACTGATTAAAAAACTTGGCGGACTTATGTGGATCGAAGGTTTCTATCGATTCGCCAAACTTGATTGACTTGTTACTTTGTGGTCTGGACGTGCAACGGATAAAGCTTTAATGGTTGACCATAGTTTTTTTGCAGTTGACCCTGCAGTCAATTATATCCAGGAGCTAAGTCCATTTGTCTCTTTTGTAATCCTGTGTTGCTTTATCCGTTTTCCGATCGATCTCGTCTATATCTTTCCAGGATTTGCTGCCTGAGCTTCGTCATCTTTTTTTAGTTAACTTAATAGCTTTCGGGGGAGCGTCGACTTTTTCTCCTCTGAAGGTACCATGAGGGATATGCCTTGAGGCGTGTTCATAAATTGTATCCCCTAGAAATTTTTCGCCTTCGTGTACATCTTTGCTGGATTAGTGTGACTGAAAGCTACATCTTTGTCCTCTTTGATCCTTGCCCAATTGGCGTTTTTAAAATTCATGTAAGTCCTCTTGCTTGAACGTAGCGGTTGAATGGCGCGGTTTAATGTTGTTTAATGTTCTAGTTTTTGCTTGTTGATCAGTTTTCCAGATCGAACGCATCGCTAGTGTGGGGCTCAGTAACGTAATATCTGGAGAGCTCTGTTTCCTTGGTTACCCTCGTTGGCGTGTCTTCGTTGATAACGATTAGTTCAGAATCGGAGATTTCATTTGCTAATTCAGTTCCTCTTTTATCGGTATCCAGCTTAGAATGCCACAATTTATGGTGTCCGTTGAAATCTCCCATTATAACTGTATCTTCTTGGTTGAGCAAAGGTTGGATGCTGCAGTGATAACCTGCTTTACAACTTGAGGATGGTGGTGTGTAAACGTTGTAAAGAGTGATGTTATAATTGCCAGAGAGTAGTTTCACTCCTAGCTGTTCAAGGTGTTCATCGTTTGATTGATTGCTTCGATTTTTCGGTACCTCAAGTTTTTTGTATTATAAAGACCAGACCTCCACGTTTTCCTCTGCTTGCAGCTCTAGGTTTGGAGACTATATCATAATCGGGTGGCAATTTGGGGCAGGTATTCGGGAGCATAGTTTCTTGAATTGCCGCGATGAGGATTTGGTTAGTGTGCATAAAATCGCAGATAACAGAAAGTTTCGGTCTGAGGCCAACTGCATTTAGTTGTAAAATATTGTAGTTTCTTGTTTGCTTTAAT